AGAAAAGAGAAAAGAGAAAAGAGAAAAGAGAAAAGAGAAAAGAGAAAAGAGAAAAGAAAGTCATCCAGCTTTTTGCAGCCTAAGTATGGCAGGCCAAATATAAAATTTCTTTTTTACTTAACTGAAGTTGGTTTGCCTAGTCAATGGTTCTTAAACTGTTTGACTCAATTTCCCCCTTTCCCAGTCTCAAATAATGTCATTACCCCCACAAAGAAAACAGACTCTCTTGTCTCACAAAAGTGTCTCAGCAGCAGTCCCAAACTTGACTCCCAGTTCCAAACCAACCAAGCAATTCCAAATTTCTCCATTACCCCCAGGAGATGCCCAAATTATCTGCTTGGGAGTAATTACCTCCAGTTTAATAACCACTGCCATAAGTAGTAATTCAGTGGTTAAATAGTATATTGACATTTGTGGCTATTAATTAATCAGATAGGGCATACTGAACAATAAAATACCTGTATTCCATGTTTTCACATATTATATTATTTACTGAGAGCATTATTCTTCCCAAAGCTAAATTACATCCTCCTGGCCCATGTATTTATATATATTATCTCTATCATGAAATGAAGTTGAATTAAATATCTGTAAGCAAAGATTCTAATAGCTGATATGTTGCCATTTTGTTTTCAAGGAAACAGCTGACCTGAAGCAGCCTTGGATGAAGTGATGAGATGGAGCACTAGGCAATTGCAACATTTTCCAACGATATTAACAACCAAGCTTCCTCTTCCTGATGTTGAAATATATATACTGTGTGTATGTATATGGGGGTGGGTGGGCGTTGAACCTTTTACAGGAGTATCAGCTGCATTGAGATCATTTGGTGTGTGTGTGCAAGCATGTGAACAGATCCAGATCCATGACTTTGGGGCTAAAAAGCTTACCCACAGAGGATACCTTACCTGAAACAGAGGATACCTTCAAAGAAAAGACTGTCCTCTGTAAGGTGGAAAAGATAATCCCCCTTCATTAGCTACAGTTTTATTGTTCAAGCTCAGCCTGTGTGGTAGCTTATAATTAGTATTATATAAATCCAGAATATTGCATAAAATGAACCATGGTTCAGTTATCCACGGGTAAGCATGTTGTACAAGGACAGTTTCTGAATCAGACCCTTGTTCCATCTGGAGGGTAGATTCACGTGCAGGAGAGATGCCAAGTCTGCTCTACTATTTCTCTTGATACATTATTAACAAAAATAAAGAATTTACAGGGTGCACTTATACCTTTTAGCTCAGGAGTAATTCCTAATTACATCACATAACCTTACTCCCAGGTGACCGTACACAGGATTGTAACCTCTGTTTTCATGAGAGAGCCACTGTCATGAAAAGTTAGGCCTCAATAAAAGCTGATTGTCTTAATTACCACCAGACCCTTTATATTTTAGTTGCAACAGAGCAGTGTGGCTACTCCCTTAGAATTAGCAACTATATTTTTTTAAGTATAGGGTGTGTTGCAAGAGTGTTACATGTGCATTCACTATGCATATGCCAGTTCCTCACAGAAGCAGCCTTTATCTTTTATTACTCATTTCCGTCCAAGAAACATTTTCCTCCTAACATTAAATTCTTAGGTTGCCATAATGGAGAGATAGAGCATGTGATAGATGTGTAAAAATTGGGAACTTCAGCCTGACCATCTAGGGATGAAAAAAAAGCGGGGGCACTGATGCTTTCCTATAGTCAGAAGGCTATAAATAGTCATCAATTTTTGCTGCCTTGCCAGAAAAACTTCTCTCCATTGTCTCTTGCAATACTGGCAGCAACCATTGGTGGGAACAAGTTCTAGGTGGCCCTACCACCTCCTTTCCTCGGCATTCAATTTGCCAAAAGTAAGTAGAAAATCTGGGAAGAAGGAATTCTCAGGGTTCTGATTAATCTGTTTGGGGGAAATGAAATCAAAGACCCTCAGCATAGAAAACCTAAACTACACGCAGGAGTGGTTGGCTTTGTCATTTCCCTCCTGAGGGAGGTTCAGGACTTTAACGGGCTAATTCAAGTTCTGTAATTTTGGAGTGCTAACTAACTTGCTGTGCAGGATCCAGGCTTTATTCTCAAACACTGCACTTTGATAGGGGAATACTTTGCTATTGAGAGCATTAGAATATTTTCATTATCCCCTTAAATAATATTTAAAGTAGCATAAAAGACTAGTAACAACCTAAAGGGTTGTTGTAAGCAATACAAATCTCATTTTATAGAGGAAGAACTAGCTGTTCCACTTCAGGGTAAGTGAGCAAAACCAAAGAAGTTGTGTACAGGAAAGACCAACGGCTTCTGTACTGTGCGTAGCTATAGACGCTGCCTCTGTAGACGCTGTGACTATCCACCAACATTTTCCTAAGCATTGTGAAGGAGAACACCTGCCCCAGCTAGTTTTTGCACAAGAGTTTTGGTGGTTTTGATTGGTTGATTCACTGTGTTGGTATTGTTAACAGTTGGCTCAAACCTATGGAATAGAAATCGATAAGAAAGGTGATGAGGAATGTTCAGGGCAGCTGCCGTCCAACTTCCTTTCTTGATCTTGGGCAAAATAAAGCGCTTCCTTAACTCTTTACGAATTGTCTGGCATCTTTGATTTCTTCTCGGCTTGGAAACGAAGGGTTTTTTCCTCCTAACAGGAGCATGTAACTGCCTAGATTGCTGACTACAGAGGTTAGTACTATGTCAGGTGAGGTTGCATGAGCGGCTGAGGAATATCCTTACCAACTATCTTTCCTAATGTAGATTACTCCAGCTTTCAAACTCCAGGTGTATTGAGACAATGATTGTTGTTTGGGGGGCTCTCTGAGATGTAGTTTTGTTGTCAGTGCTTGGGTTCTTTCATGTTTTATTGTTATGCTGTGAGCTGCCCGAAGTTATTGTATATAAGATGGGTGGCCATAGAAGCCTCATAAATGAATAAATAAGGCCATGCTGCTGGGAATTCTAGTAGTACTTGTAATAATTTCAAATGCAGCTGCAAGGCAGCAAATAGGGACACTAATGTAACTCCCAGATGGATGTCAAGTGTATCACATCACTAGTGAAGATGTTAGAGATTCTGCTATATGTCCAAGCAATTTCAGAATAAAGTTCAGAAAAAACTTTTTAGTTCATCATCTGGTTCATGAAACAGCCTCCAGAAAGGGATTTAAGTTTTAGACAAGAAGCGTAGACTTTCCTATTGCTGCCCTCTGGTATAAATCAGTGCAAGATCAGGTTAGGAAGCTTGAATACTGCCAATAAGCAGCCCTGTAGCAGTTTGGGACGTGCAGTTCAATTCAGGAAACTAGCACAGACAGCAGGGTCTTAAACTACCACTGTCCTCACCCTAAATCAACATGGTTACTACTCTAGGATTGTGTGGGTTGGAATCCAAAACCTCTGAAGGGAAAGGATGGCCAAGTCTCTTGATGCTGATGGAACTTGCCCTTGGGGATAACTTAGTATTCCTTTTCAGGAATTTAAGCCAACTGCCAAGACAAGGAAGGAATGTCATCACTTTTTCCTCTGTTTCATTGTTTTTTTCAGGACTCCATTCTGCAATGTGTGTGGGAACTTGTACTCGGATCCTGGGCCCATGCCTCCTTATCTTGGGCTGTCTTTCCATTATTGCTAATATTCTCCTACTCTTCCCCAATTGGGAATGGTGTTACATAAGCCTGGGCCAAATCTCAAAGAGGGCAGTGCTAATGCCAGGAGTGTGGGGAGGCGGCCTGTTAGTAAGTAGACTATTTCTTAATGTATCCTGGCCAAGAATCTATGTGGGGTATAGTCAATGTATATTATGTATATACATGTATATGTATAATATTTTATCTTTTGCTTTATAACAAATCTGTTCTAGGGTGGGACAGCAAGCCAGCTTTTGCTGATACCATAAGCTGAATTCACACTTTATATTAAGGCATGGTTTGTTTGTTTGTATGTTTGTTTTTTGGTGCATTTGACTCGTTCTTGACTCCTGCTGACTGCCTGCACAAGTCCCTGCAGTCTTCTTGGCAATGTTTTGGAAGTGGTTTGCCCTTGCCTTCTTTCTAGGGCTGAGAGAGAGTGACTGGCCCAAGGTCACCCAGCTGGCTTTGGGCTTAAGGCAGGACTAGAATTCACAATCTCCCAGTTTCTACCGTGCTGCCTTAACCACTACACCAAACTGGCTCTCATGGTTTGTTTAAACATGATTTATGGTTTATCAACCAAACCATAATTGGCTGAACTCAACCTACTAAGTCATAAAGCACAGTTTACAAATGACATAACACACTGAATCCAAACCAAATTAAATTACGGTTTAGTGCAATGTAGAAACTCGTTGAATATAAGAGTCATTGATTGCTATGGTATCTCTGATAACTGTCTATCCAGCAATTGCTTCCTAACCTGTAATGATGAAAATCTCACTATCCCATTGCAGTCTGTGCCACTATAGTCTACCTGCTAGAGTCAGGAATTTCTTCTGTGTGTTTAGTTGACATCTTGCAGTTTCAAGCTGTCAGTTAACTTCCTACTCTTTGGGCAATAGGAAAAAGAAGAAGAAGAAACATGTATTAGCTTAAGTTACTGTATTGTCTCACACCCATCCCCTCACTCCACAAGTCTTGGAAATAGCTCAGCATTATTCAAATACTTTGAGGGATACCATATTAGGAATCCATAATTTCCTATGATGGCTTGATTGAAGTTTGTCAATCCCTCCTGTAAAGTATTTAAGCTGTTCTTACTTCCACAAAAAGTGTACCAACAGCTTAATGAAGTGATACAATTAGTTTAAAGTATATTAATGTTAGTTCTGCTCACCCCTGAAAGTCAGTCAGCTTTCCTCAAGATGACATCCTCCAGATATGTTGGGACTATAACTCCAATAATTCTCCAGGCTTTGGCCAACACACCCATTTTATAAAGTCTATATTAGAAATGTTTTGCACTGGATTAAGCCAACCTTATCTAAGCTGCAAAAATCTGGGCAACTGTAAGATGTTGGCAGACAGTTTGAGTTTGCTGCCATCCAATGTCCATCTGGATTTTTGCAGCTCAGAAATGGTAGGCCTACACTAGATATTAGTGACTTAGAACAGTGAATCCTTTTGTAGCCATCTTCTCTTCTCCTCTTCTCTTCCTTTTTGTATTATTATGGAAATTTTTGTAATGCTTTTTCAATGGCTGTGTAAAATGTAAACATTTCTATCACAGCCTATAAATGGACAAGGCCAATTAAAATAACAAGAAAAATATTATTCTTAAAATGCTTGTTCTACCCAGACATGTTCAGTGTGGCTACTCCAAAAAGCTATGCATCTCTGTCTTAAGGGAAGATATGAAGGTCTAAGAGGTGGTGAAGTTGTTAAGGTGTTGGACTGGGGAGACCCAACTAAGACCACATTCTGTCCTGGATGCTCATTCACTACCTTTGAGCTAGTCACGATCTTGTAGCTTATCCCACTCACAGGATTCTTTCTGTTGAGATAATAGGGCTCCAGGAAAAGGAACAAATGAGTAATAAAATAAAATGT